ACCCATCTGTAAAATATGGATTTGTATGTATTATATTTACCTTTTAATTGATTAAATTCTTGTTGCTATTGTAATTCGTTAGTTTCTGAAATTTTTAAATGCTGTCAGTGTTAGGTCAACTTGTTGCCTCTCTAATTGCCAACTAGGAAAAGAAAGAAGGTGGGAAAGAGATACATCATCTAGCTCAATATCAGACAGGAATGCTATGGCTCTTGGTCCCAACGGGAACAAGAGAAGACTTCGTGTTGTACAGATCCTCATAGAGGGGATTAAGAACACAGTTAGATGCAGGTTTCGACTCATTACAATATAGTCTTGTGGTAAATTGTACAGCTAATTTTATACGGCGATGGTTAAGAGATGGTTCATGAACCTCGACGTAGAGCCTGTCAGTAGGCGAAGTTTTGAACGACAACGACTCAAGACAAAGTCATAGGGCTTGGTGGTGGACAGAATCTAATATACTTTTCACAAAAAGGTAAGCAACACAAATTTTCATTTATTGAAATTGCAAATCATGGAATGATGCAATAGAAAGATGAAACATATGTATTTAACAAAATGAAATGAAATGCAAACCCGCACATACGCAAACCATGGTTTGATACAAACTGCAAACAAGCTAGAAAAAATAGGAAGAAGGCGGAAAAATATTTCCGACAACACCCTACAGTGCATAACCTGAATGCTGTTAAAATGACAAATGCCAGGGCAAAACGTACCTTCAAACAAACTAAACGCCGGTCATGGAGGAAATATGTGTCAAAAATCAACTCCCGCACACCCATGTCCAAGGTGTGGAACATGATGCAAAAGATTAAGGGCAAAGGGTCAAAATCAGGAGTTCACCACCTGAAAGATGGTGACTCTCTCCTAACAAATAAATCTGAAATTGCAAACAAACTTGGCGAAACTTTGGCAAACCACCCCTCCTCATCAAATTATAACCCTCAGTTCCAGAAATACCAAACCCAACAAGAAAAGAAATCAGTCAATTTTAACTCTGATAATGGGGAGGATTACAACGAAACGTTTTCCATCCATGAATTACGTACTGCCCTAGGACAGGCTCACGACACTGCGGCAGGAGCTGATGAAATCCATTATCAGCTTCTGAAATACCTCACTGACTCAGGCTTGGAAACATTACTAAATATATTTGATGACATCTGGACATCCGGACACTTTCCTCCTTCGTGGCACAATGCCATTATCATCCCTATACCAAAACCCGGGCGCGATCATACTTATCCCTCAAACTACCGTCCTATATCACTAACTAGCTGCGTTTGCAAAACCATGGAGCGCATGGTCAACAATCGATTAATCTGGTACTTGGAGACCAATAACCTCCTCAGTGACCTCCAACGTGGTTTCCTAAAGAACCGAAGTACCATTGACCATCTGGTGCGTCTGTAATCATTCATCAAAAACTCCATTGTCAACAAACAACATACAGTATCTATCTTTTTCGACTTAGAAAAAGCATATGATACAACGTGGAAACATGGTATCCTAAAAGATTTACACGAGTTTGGATTGAGGGGTAGACTACCTCAATTCATATCTCAGTTTTTAAACAACAGACAATTTCAAGTTCGGGTGGATTCCACACTGTCTGACTATTTCCACCAAGATCAGGGCGTCCCTCAAGGCAGCATCCTGTCTGTTACACTTTTTAGCATAAAAATTAACAGCCTCACTAACGTTCTGAACAGTTGTGTTGATGGGTCCCTTTTCGTGGATGACTTCAATATTTCGTGTCGTGATAAGAACATGCACACAATAGAAAGGCAGCTACAACTCTGCCTTAACAAAATCCAAAAATGGGCCAATGAAAATGGTTTTAAGTTTTCAAAATCCAAAACAAATTGTATTCACTTTTGTCGTAAATACACACCACACAAGGATCCCGACCTAACTTTAGATGGTACTCCCATCAAGGTAGTAGAAGAGGCCAAATTCCTTGGACTCATATTCGACCGCCACCTGACATTCTTACCACACATAAAATATTTGAAAACAAAGTGCTTGAAGGCTCTAGACTTGCTAAAAGTAGTTTCAAATACAGTGGGGAGGGGATCAGACCACCCTCCTTCACCTGTACAGATCATTAGTTCGCAGTAAACTAGATTATGGCTCCATTGTCTACGGTGGAGCCTGCAAAAGCAACTTAGAAAAATCTCTATCCACCACCAAGGGCTGAGGCTCTGCCTGGGAGCTTTTAGGAACTCTCCGGTAGGCAGTCTAAATGCGGAGGCCAATGAACCTTCCCTTGAACAACGCCGCATTAAACTCTCATTGCAGTATATCACTAAACTACGTTCAAATGAGTCCAATCCAGCATACAATTGTGTTTTCAACCCGCTCTATGAAAACTTGTTTCCTAAACTGCCAAGCCTGGTTCCACCACTCGGAATCAGGATCAAACCACACATATCTGCAGCTAAAATTGATCTCAATATCATTGCACCTTACCGACTTCTGTCCTGACCACCATGGCAAATGGTGAAACCACAGGTCGATCTTACCCTCACCAAACTCAAAAAGTCTGAAACAAATCCTTTGGTGTTCCAACAGGAATACAACCAGTTACGATCGAAGTATAACACCCATAGATCCATTTTCACAGACGGATCCAAGGACGATGGCCAAGTTGCCAGCGCTACAGTCATCGGATCCAAGATTGTCTCCTCTAAGATCCCCGACAACAGTTCCATTTTCACCGCTGAAGCCAAAGCTATCTTCTCAGCTTTGACCTACATTCAACAGCAAAATCATTCCAAAAACTTCATCGTTTTTACAGATTCATTATCCTGCCTTCAAGCTCTTCAAAATGTGACTTCAAGTCACCCAATCATCCTGAACATATTAGAACTTTACAACGACCTTTCTACTGGCCAATGTGACATCGTCCTCTGCTGGTTGCCGGGTCACTTGGTGTTAGCAGGTTACACCAAGGCCGATGCTGCAGCAAAAGCAGCTCTTGACAAGCCCCTATATCCACTGCTAATCCCGTACAGTGAGTTTAAACCCACTATCAAAAGCTATACTCGGGACCTGATGCAAAAAAGGTGGGACACTCAAGTAGGAAGAAACAAACTCCATGAATTGAAGCCAACAATCGGTTATACCTACTTGGGTTGTCAGTCAAGACGTGATGAGGTAATTTTACGACGATGTCGTATTGGCCACAGTCTGTTTACACATGACTATCTGCTGAAAACGGATGGGGATGGACCCCCATATGTCTCTCTTGCGATGAGGCTTTCACCGTCAAGCATAGTCTGCTTGACTGTGTGGACTTTACATCTGCAAGGGACTCGCATTATCATGCAACCAATCTGAAAGATCTGTTCTCCAGCGTGAGAGCTCATCTGATAGTGAAATACCTGAGGGAAGTTGATCTATATCATAAATTGTAACTGTGTAATGTGACTAACGAATTTACCTGCTTTTCAATTTAGTGCTATGACATTCTCAGTTCTAAAATGACAATGTAATGAATGCGTGTCTTTGAAACAAAACCATTTTTGACTTGTACTTACAATGTATATTAATGCAAACTTGTTCTCGTCACTATATGGCTGGAATAATGCCGATGTGACGTAAAGCCCAACTCAACTCAACCCAACCCAACCCTACTAAAGTGTTCAGGACTGAAGTGGTTCGGACTCATATGGTCCATGCTCCTATTCCAGGTAGCATGCCATCATCGGCCCAACGTCGGCTGATAGTCGGCACCGTCGGCTGATATCGGCATCGTTGAACAGCGCTGGGCCGACAGCGGGCCAATGTAACCCAGCTAACACATAACATCTTCCAAACATGTTTATAAGGTTTCAACTGATTTATCAAAAATATTTTCGTCAAAACACAGTCACAATCTTAAAACAAGTCGTTCAACTATTTAAAAGCATTAATTATTCAAATGGGTTTTTTTAAGTTGTAGAAATAAATGTTACCGCGGGAAAGGACGTCGGAATGACGTCACACGTTCACGTCATATTTTCGCACCCGCCATCTTAGTAGAAGTTTATTGAGGACGGTACAACAATGTCATTGTGCAGCAACAAATGGAACTCGGGATCATTGATCTGACCTGGGTTGCGGTAAGTTAACTTTACAGTCACTACCCGGTTGTTGTTATGTTTATGTACATTTTGATATTCACTCGATCGTGCTACTCAGAAATCACGAGGTTTTGAGCAGCCGTACACGATTCGGTGTTGTTAGGCTTCCAACAGAGAATATTATGTATGTTAAATTTTATTCAGCTATCAATGGCAAGCAGTATGTTCTTAACCAGAGTTCATGTCAGGCGGACATTTGTCGCAATTACGTTCGGTATGCACAGCTCACAAGCCAGTGACACTTATCGTCATTAATTTTGTTCCCTGTTATTTCTGAAATATATATGTTTTAATTTAACATTACAACTTACTATCAATATTTTAAGCTATGAAAAGTTCGCTCACTTCAGTCGGTGGGAAAGCTTGCATCAAACTTATAACACGAAAATGGGGAATCAAAAGTATACAAATACTTTCTGGTCGACCTGACTGTGGGCTATTAGTAATCTGTCATAGTCTAAGTATGTTATTTAAAATGAATGTTCAGACAGAAATGACCGAAGCATACTTGGTAAATAACGTAACACTGACTAAAAACTAAATATTGATCATCCGCGTGGTTGTTGTGGTTTTGCTTGTCTAACATTCGATCCACGTTATTTTCAGTAATAGGCTAGATCTATGTTATCTAAGTATAGTGTTTACATTGTGTATTCTTCGAGTTTCCCAAAACTGATCAATTTATCATTTTCGGATATCTATATTTCACTTCTAAACGAGAGCCAGAAATAAACATGTTTCCCGCGCTATAACGGGGCGTTGGCGATGACTGGTCCTCGGCAATGTTCATTCGGTTTGCGATCACCATGTTTTTTCAAGATACAGCATTAATTATTCAAATTTACTTAGTCTTTCTTCAGGAAATGTAGACCAAATAAATTTCTTATGGTTTACTTGGTTCACCGAAACATTTTGCCAATGAGAAAAAAAATATAGTGATCGAAAACTGAACGAATCTGGTTACAATGCTCGCAACGAAATCATACTGCAGCAGTAACTGTTCCGCGTGTAAGACGTGAATCATGTAGCTAGTTACAATAGCTATTTAATATATCAATTCAAGTTTGTATTCCAGGTTAGAATGTATAGAAGCGCTGTCCAGTAATCCATGTTTGTTGTAAAGGGGCAGAGTTATTTCCAATCCAACTTTATACACGCTGGTGTTAATCTACACACCTTGACCCCCCCAAACTTTAGGCTATAATTATTACACAATATATTTCAGCCTCGGACTAACTAGATTTATATATGCGTGGGGAATCTAGTTCAATTTGAAATTTGTTATAATGTGGAACATTATTATTTTCGTTGCAGCAAGGGCGAAAATGAGACACAAAAATTCCGGCAGATACAAACAGAAGTGATGGATTTATTGAGGATTACATCAAATAATCCAGGAGCTGTGAATCAGTAAACGTAAGGGCATCTGTTAAATATCATTGTCTATATTCTTGTTGGTGACGTTTTGGCTTTTTATTGCAAAAATGGATTTGTACCTGCACTCAGCCTCTGACCAGCAAGAGTGGTGGGGTTGTCGTTGCTATTCAGTGTGATTTGAAACTATTACCAAATTAGGCATTCAAGGGTTTCCATTATTTTCCATTGTGTGCTGGTGTCCATCAAACACTTGCATATATACATAGGTGCAGGAAGACTTCATTAACTGATCATTGTCTCTTGATATGACTTAATACACTTACTATACATTTGTTTTCTTTAGTTCAGAAAAATGGATAAAGTCGAAACCAAAGAAGAAGATTCTGAAATAATCTCGGAAAGTGTAGGAGTTTTTGAACAAAATTAATAAAGAGTGTTGATTATATGTCTGACATTCTTTTTTTATGTTCCTTGTTAAGAGTAACAATGTCTATTTTCCATAGACATGTAACCTTATTGTTAACAGTTAGTGTTTTAGTGAAAAGTTAAAACCATATCTTGACAGAAAATGTTAATATAACGTTTCCTGAAACATAAACATTCACATGGATAAAACGTATTCAGAAGCCTTTTTGGTGGTTACTGAATTTTATAACCAAACGTTCATAGAACACACTGTTTCTGGAACCATACAAATGCATATGAATAAATCGTTTCAAAAACATGATATGTTTCAGGAATGTTTCTTCACATCTATATATATGTTTTGACACTCATATAAAATAGTATTCATTTATAAATTGTGGCACATGCTATCAAATATGTATTCACCGTGGACAAGTGAAGTGAGCAACTAAACTAACGGGCAAAAGAAAACGATACTAAGTCGAAATCACTGATATTACAAACGACAAACCACCATTTTGTAAAGGAAAGTGAATTTTAATAATTTTAATGTATGGGCATGTGTACGTAAATACATGTTACCCATACACCTGTTATCAAACTTCACTTTCGTTTTACACAATGGAGTTTGTCGTTTTGTAATATCATTTCGACTTGGTATCGTTTCTTTTGCCCGTTAGTTTAATATTGCAGTGCCTATAAAGTGACGACGTTGTGCCGATGCAGTGCCAATAAAGTATGCCGACGCTGAGCCGATGCAGGGCCGATACAGGGCCATTGAAGTTTGCCAACGTAAGGCCGACGTCTATACGATGAGCAAAACCTATTGGCCCGATGAAGTTTGCCGACGTCGGGCCGATAATGCACACGACGTGGGGCCGATGTCGGGCCGATGATGGCATGCTACCTGGGGTGGTCCCTAGGACATTTTGCCTCAAACTCATATCTTCACCGAGTTAGACCTATCGATTACATTACAGCATACGTGTTCCCGACGCACATCGAGCTGACATGTCCATACATAGGCATACAGTCCAGTTATCTGACAGAGCTATCTAATACACTCGGATGATTTCAAGTTAAACACTATCAAAGAAAATAAGAGTAACACAAGTGAGAGAGGTTGCGTCTACTATATGTCTTTTTTAACAGCTGTAATATGTTTGTGATGAGAATATGTCTCTGTTTGTCTTTATGTATATTAAACCACTCTTATGACAGCTAGCATAACGATGCCACTTATATGGCGAAGTAATAACGTCTATAAAACAGATTTTCAGATTTAAAGCAATAAAGACATTTTTTTTAAAAAGGATCAGGACATTATTTAACTAATTCGTTTTCATTTTGCACTGTAACAAATTCGATTGGGTGCAAAGGGCAAAATAACGGTGAGAACACTGTGAAATAGTTCGAGCGTCATATGCATATACATATACACATACATATTCCATATACATATTCATATACACCTGCTGTGTCCTGCACTTAATATGTTTGGTGAAGCCTAACCAGCAGTAACGAAACCAGGTTTCATGATCCAATTAGCCTCAAACAAATCAATTTCAAATGTGAAAGTTAAATGGGGAAAATGGTTCGTGGGTTAAATACAAGAATGCGACTAGACACTTAAGATCAAATTTACTTCTGATTAGCGTAAACATAAATGGCTCTAATATATCACAGCTTTATATCAATTACAAAAAAATAAATAAATAAAAAAGAAAGAAAATAGACAAACGCCCCCTTTCAGTCATCCTGAAAATATGAAACAGAGAAATCGTACTATAACTATTATGACATTAAATATGTATAACTCACAAGTCGCAAACGAACTAACAACTATAATATAAAAAACAACAACAAAAACAACAACAACAAAAAATTAAAAAAACCAAAAACATTTCCTCATTCATATTAATAGAGCATGTTATAGGACACGTTTACACGAAAATTAACCTTTTTGTCATGCACTTTTTCATCATAAAAAGTGTTTGTAGTTTTATAGCCCAAACAGTACAGGTATCACAAGTAACTAGTTCATGTTTTGCGTTGTATAGATTCAAATTTTCGATATTAACCGAGAGTTCTATGTCCACAATAAACACACCATGGCTTATGTCCCTTGGAATGACAGTACTCCCGTTGCAACTGTGTCATTCACCGGGACAAGTCTAAGGTTTCGTGTAACTTCATCACTGATTGCAATATGGCTTCGGGTCAATTCAATCTTGAGGTATGTGAACATTCTTTAAATGTGAAAATGACCATGTTTGGAGTCTCCACACTATGCGTTATATGTAGAATACAATCAGTTACATGTGTTACTATAAAATCTATTTCGTCATGCTTAATATGTACACCAGGAAAGTTTACTCCACAATTGCTTCACCTTTTTCTTACTTATGCTATGAAAGTGTACAACAACATAGATCTATTTGTGAACGTACAAACTACGAATTCCAAATAAGCATAGGCATAGTTCGGTCCGATATCACGAGGTCGAGGTGACATTTTGATGAAACATATCCGTAAATTACATCATTTGCAAGGAAGTACACAGGGAAGTTAGAGTCAAAACTGGACTGACAACCCAAGTAGGTGTAACCGATAGTTGGTTGAATTTCATGTAATTTATTAATACCTACTTGAGTGTCACACTTCTTTTGTATTAGATCACTGATATATCACTTTGTAATCAGAGTATGGGATCAGAAGTGGTGTCACAGATGTGTTGAGTGCTGCCCTAGCAGCAAAATCTGTCATTGTGTCAACATGACTGGGTAACCAACAGAGGACGATGTCGTATTGGTTAGCAGCAAAATCATTACACAAATCAATTATTTCGATTAAAAGTGGATGTTTACAAAAGAGGTTTTTAATAGGCACGAAAGGGAGTCTGAAAAGATTACATATTGTTTATATTTAGGGTGTTTTTTAATATATTTAAGTGTCGTTGATATGGAGTTTGCTTCTGCAGTAAAAATAGAGCTGTTATTCGATAATCTAGAGGATATTTTTCTGGATCCAGTGACAGTTGCACAAGCAACTGCGCCACCATTCTTGGATCCATCTGTAAAAAAGGATTTGTATGTATTATATTTACGTATGAACTGATTAAGTTCTTGTTGATATTGTAATTCGTAAGTTTCTGATTTTTTAAATGCTGTCAGTGCTAGGTCAACATGTGGCCTCACTAACTGCCAACTAGGAGAAGAAAGAAGGCGGGAAGGAGATACATTTTCTAGCTCAATGCCAGCAGCAGTAAGGGAAGGTTTGACCCTTGGTCTCAGAGCGGGGCAAGAGAAGACTTCTTGATGTACAGATCCTCATTTGGGATTTAAATTATATGAAGGGTTAGACTCATAAATATAGTTCTGTGGTATATTGTAAAGCTAATTCTATATGGCGATTGGTAAGAGATGGCTCATCAGCCACGACGTAGGGACTGTCATGTCAATAGGTGGAGTTCTGAACGACCCAAGACAAAGTCTTAGACCTTGGTGATGGACAGAATGTAATAGTTTTAGTTCTATATTCGAGGGAGCCATAATAAAGTTTCAATCGGACCAATGATCGCCATGCCCACCTTTGAATTAGAAACGACTTCACTCAGTGGAGTGCCTTCAGGCATATATTTTATAGGTATTTGATATGTGGAAGAAAAGTTAAATGGGAGTCGAAAATGTTCCTTATAAAACGTGTCCATCTGTCAGTTCTATGAGTCATTGTTCAGTGCATATGTAAATGTATTGATCCATTTCTTTCAAAATATTGAAACCAAGTAATGCTCTCAAAGTAAGTATTACATTACAGAGATTTGCCTCAACAAACAACAATTCATACTGACTTCCCCAAGAGGATGTGTCTGATACATAAGTAAATTTACATATACTTGTTTTACTACCTGAAACTACATTTTCAACACGTAAACCATCTAGTTTTATATCCCGATTTTCATTCAACAATACTCAAAGACAATTGAGGCATTAAGTCTGTTTATTTGGAATAAATATGACCCCGAAAATGTGATCAAAATTAAATATTGCTATCACATTAATGCAAAGTTAACCGAACAATAATTTTAATGCAGATATGTCTTTTGCATGGATTTGGTTTTCATATTTATCAGATTATACTTTTGGATAATGACTACATGATAAACACATGCACCATTATACAAGTATATATGAACTCAACTTTATTTACACCACGGCCGTGTTCTGCGGCATTAGAGGTACAAGTTTTCATCATAATGTACAACTTAAATACAAGCATGAAACATGAAGTGGTCATATATACATATCGCTTGGTTGCAAGAATAAACTGTATGTACATACATATAACCAGTTAAATGAACAATGTTACACTCATGCGTTATTGGTTATCTTTTGTGGGGGCGTTGCTTAAAATGAGACATTCTTATTTTGCAAAATATTGCTAATTTCCTAATTATTCCTAGTTTGTTAGAGTGAATAAGTTGGTTCATCTTGTGCATATTCTGGTTCCTACAGGAATATATTTTTTCATTTCTTGGGCCAAGGTTAGGCAAGCAAACCAAAAGTGAAATTCATCACCGATATCGTTTGCATTACAGACAGACAGACAGACAAGTTTATTCAGTAAAAGGCCACAGGCCCATCATACAGTCATTTGCATATGGTATAGATAGTTTAGTGTCCATGTTGTGTAAGAGGAACATTTCTAATGCGCTGAAGCACATGATGAAGAAAAATACTAACATATTTTTTGATGCAGTCATTATGTGTTTTCCTAATGTTGATAAAATTGACATTTGGATCAAAATCAGTCAAGTATTTTTGAATATATCTTAACCTTAAATCAGAAAACGTTCACACTTAAGGAGTACATGAAATTCATCTTCAATCACATTTTTGTCATCCAATTTACAAAATAAACATAATCTCTAATTTGGAATCACCAAGCACATGAGCTACACGAGTTACCTCCCTTGCGACACCCATTTGAAAATTCAAACACA